CAAGGAGTAGCTGGTGAGCTTGAGTTGCCAACCTTGTGGTTTACAACAATCTTGTAGTCCAGCACATTAGCCCAAGGCGCCACACCAGGTTAAGTGTGTACCATGGTTAAGGTGTGAAATAGGATTTTAAAGGCATTGAGAATGGAAAGCAAGCTATAAACCATAGTATCTTCAAGGTTAGAGTTTATATTTAGAAACATATCGACTCCCCAAGTCAGGTGACTATTCTGGCCACAGACCAACCTGCATACGTTTTATACCCTTTCCTTGACTTCACTGTTAAAAAAGTGCAACTCATAGGTAAAGAGAGATTCCATGCTGGCTCTTCTTCCCTGATTTACTTCAGTTGCTTTCTAATCGATCATGTTGACAAGAAAAAGAAAAGAGATACACACACACACCAGTGTTACAAAACCTTGTATTAATCATTTCCCTTCACTTTCAATATAACAGTTGATATGAAATATAGCCATGAATCTTAGTTACATGGGAGGAAATGAGTAATAAATACATTGTAGCAAGTTTAAACCACAAGGGTGTTTCACTGGTAACAACATTTGAAAACTGTACACTTGCAAAGAACAGCATCTTCAAACATTAGTATATCTGTAGATCAGTAAAGCTCTTACATGTAACAAACATGCTATTTTCATATATGACAAATTTTAAAAATATGCATTGCTTGGCAACATGAACTAGGCAAAAATATTTCTTTGTTCACTAACTTTATACAGGAAAACAGGACAAAAGGCATGCATTTACAACAGGAGATGCACAGAGCATGCAACAACAAAAGAAAGCTTTTGAAAAGTCAGCTTACATTAGGCATAAATACATGAGGGTTATATATTAATAAGGGAGGAAATCTGTTTGACATTATTAACATTCCTGTTTTCTTCTTATTCCTCCCAGAGGAATACACATTCACCTTTAAGTAAAGATAAAGGAATTACAAAAAAATAAAACTCACTTTGCAAACATCTCTGATGACTTGTAAAAAAAAAAAAAACAAAACTCAACATTAGTGTTATCACAGCCCCACGTGCAAATGATCCTTCTGCAGGTCCTCCGTGTAGCAAGGCACACCTGAGCGCCTCAGGTCGCATCCCCCCCAAAACCCAAGCGGGACCTGCCTGCTGCAGACAGCTCTGCAAGGCCAAGGAGACTGGGGCCCACCTTTTCTTCATTACTGCCCTATGCATTCCGCTTGAACCAGCACCCCCAGCCCCATCTTGGTGCAGTCCTGATTTTGGCTGGAACATGCAGATCTACAACCTTGTACCAGCAGCAGCAGGAGCTACAAGAGGTGCAGAAGAACAAAGGATTCAGAGGAGGCTCCCATTCCCCCCAAAAATGCAGCCAGTGACACCTCAAAAGAAAATCTCGTTTCCCTCAGTGTCTCTTCAAACAAATGAGAGGTGGGGGGACCAGCTATAGCTCCAATCCTGGGTAACCAAAAGGCACCATCAATATAAAGGATTTGAGAGCTTGGTACAAATAGTTACCCTTGGCAGGGCGGGCAGAACCAACACTATTTTGCTTGCTGGTGGCCCTCATCTTAAAAATTGAAAAGCAAAAGCATGTGGAAACAAAACAAAAACATATCAGCAGCAATGTTTCATTTCTTGTACACAGTTCAATGTGTTTCTTCCTACTATTTCTGGTAAGAAACCACTATGAATAAAAGCACCAATAAAACATCAGACTTGATAACAATATTGTAGACCACCACCATCCCTGGGACAGTGTGCAGATGGTCAAGTACACACGGCTTAAATCAGAACAAGGGAAAAGAAAAATAACCAACAAAAACCCATGTAGTGAAATCGTTTTTACTCTGAGATTTTTAAATCGTTTACTATTTACTGAATATAAAACAGGTGCATTTGGGGGTCAATGTGTAAATACAAAAAAAGGCACTGCCGCTTTATTACTAAATACCCAACTTCACAGCCTTATGCATGCAACGGTTTGATTCTTTTATAAATAGACTTCTTTTGTGTTTGCATTTTTTGATTGAGCTATATACCTGCAGTCAACATAGGACTCAGAACAGGGTGAGGATAGGACAGGCTTCTAAAATGTATCAGAACACTCAACCTAACAACAACAAAAAATTAAAACACTAATAGCAAAACACAACTAAGTAGATAAATCTATACACAGTCGATAAAAAATAAGCTTTTCTTTTTTCTTTTTGTTTTTTAAAAAAAGAATTATGTTGTCATTAATAACAGACTTTATCATGGTTACCAGCCATAGCAAGTTAATAAGTAACATATCCAAAATAATATCTCTAATAATCAGATAACCATTGTTTCTCTATTCAGTGAAGGAATAAATAGAAATTTAGATTTGCAAATACTTTAAAGTCTTCCTTTTAAAGGATTCATGCTAATGTGATTGTGTTCACAATCTGTTTTCTGAACAACACGAGTTGTTATGGATATATGTGTTCAAGGAGCAGCAAAGCTTTCTCGTTTCTCAACAAGCCCTGTCATACCACTGGCTTTTCTCATCCGCATTAACTTTCTTAGCATGCACAAATCACATTCCCAAATCCTTCTGGTCTTACCTTTGGCCTTCAACATCTTTGATTTGTTCTTTCTGCCTTACATGTGATCCTCCATCCCAAAACACCCCCCCAAGTAACATTATGCTTCTTTCGAGAAAAGGGGGGTGGAGGAAGAATGATAATGGCACTTGGTTTAAAAAGGAAAAAAAAAAAAAAAGTCAACTAAAATAATGCTGCCTCTTTTTGCACATGGATTTGCTTCTTTAGTTTTCAATGCCATGCATAGATTGTGTACTCAAAGAAGCCTTCTTGTCTGACTAAAGGCTCCAAGGTGAAGGTTCCCAACTCTCTGGCTTGCGAGTGTTTTCAAAAGCCTGCTGTAATGTCCAAGGCTGGGTTGGGTGAACATTTTTAATTTTAAAAGTAAAAGACAGCCAAACCAACCATGCTGCCATCAAGTCGATTCTGCCTTATAATGGCCCTGTAGGACAGAACAGAACTGCTCCTCAGGGCCCCGGAGGCTGCAAATCTATATGGGAACAAACAGCTTCATCTTTCTCCTCAGGAACAGCATGGTACATTTGAACTGCCAACCTTGCGGTTAGCAGCCCAGATGCTTCTCCCACAGCACCATCACGGGTTCCACTTGGATTTCATTAGGTCTTTTATATCCTTACTTCATTAATTTTTTTTTTTTTCAGTAACCACAAGTGAGTGCAGTGTTTCTCATGATTTTATTTAGACTCTATCTGACTCACCCATTTAATAAACAGGTTTTATACCTTCTCCCTGATCTCGCCTCTGGCTGAGCACTCCCACCATCATTTACACAATCCAATTTTCCAGTGCAGAGCACAACTCCTGTTTGATTTCCTCTAATACCCTCCACTGCATCAAATCTGGAAACATCGTCTTTCTTGCCCTAAAGAAGTGAGGCTATTACTGGGTGGTGCCATGGTTTGTTAATCTCTCACTAGGGTAATGACTTTCCACCTCCCCCACACCCCCTTCTGTGTGGATGGGGAGACCAACCAAGACCACAGCAGATCCCTGACACGTTTCTGTGTGCACAGAGTCCACTTTTCCCACCTGGGAGGGTGGGGCTGGGCCCTGAGCCTAGTGTCCCTCTGCACGCTCTTTCTGACACTTGCTGACTGACCTTTCATTCACTCTTGCTGGTTCATTCTCTCTTTCCTCCTCGTCTTCAGCAGTGAAAGGGATGCAGCCCCCAGGCGCTCAAATGCCCAAGAGCACCCCCACTGTGAGAAGGATTTTGAGCCCATTCTGTGGTTATTCAGCCTCTCATCAAGGGAAGTTGTCTGTCTTGCCTTGTCTCTTCCAGTGGAATTTGTACCTACCTACCTGTGTGTACCTGGAGCGAGGCTGGGTGTGATAGGATGAAACCCCATGAGTATGGTGGTGTGTGTGGGGGTGTCGGGGTAGAAGGACAGGATGGTAAGTCTCCTGGTGAGAAGCAAATCCAGCACAAAAAGAAGCAGCAGGATTCGTTTAGAATCTCTGGACCACCTGAGAACAAAATGCTATCGGACCCCCATGGTGCCATCTTTTTGTACTCTTGCATGATGCTTTGCCCACTCCATTCACATCCTTGTCTCAAAATCCCACCTATCCTCTCCTCCCAGAGGAGGTGCCAAACAGACATCTCAGATCTACGTGACTGCATCCATCTTCCCAAGAAGCAGAGCCTGGCAGCTGTTTTAACAGACAACCCTGCTGCTATTATAAAAATAGAGGAAACAAATGAATCCATATTAACAACAAATCCTTTACAAAAGCAATAGTATGAAGAGATGTTCTACCCAAACTCTTTACACATTATGTACCCTTTAAAATTGTTATGTAAACAATACACAAATCAAAGTTTATCTGAACTTTTGTTGGAGGGAATTTTTTTCCTTGTTGCCCCATTGCCATGTGGCCCCTCTCCTGCAGTTCTCTTTCAAGCAGGGACCTCAGGGAGATCCAGTCAGTGGAGACAGAAAAGGTGAACCGCCATCTTGCTTTTGGTCACATGTATCCATACTATCCTCCTGTGGCCTACCTGGGAACCAGGCTTTCTGAAAAGGATCCCAGGGCCTGGGGCTTCTGCCTTCTTCCTAGCTCTTGTACTCTTCTTTCATAGCGGTATATATATATATATTTTTTTTTTTAAATTCCTTCCAGGGAGTCACTTGTACCCCCTTCTTGGGACCCTCTTCCCCATCCCATGTTTCCCTAAAGACCCCTCCCCACCCCACACACCAAACCATCTTATGACAGAAAGAAATGACAAAATAACCAATCCCAGGTCTACTGATATGTTTACAAGGGCGACCTACGCTCTCACAAAATCAAAATGGGAGAGGGACCAGGAAAAAAAGGCTGCAAAGGATCTTGGGAGATTCTGTGCAGCCCTGAAGATGGCTGACACTGGACCCGCAGCAGTCGATTTCACGGCCAGCGCTGTCGCTCTCATCTTCAACTTTTAGATTGTGGAGGTTCGGTCAACCCCGTCTAGGAGAGAAAGAAGCACATGATGGGGTCAGGTGAGCAAGACAATCCCCCCCTTCATGCCCACCTATACTGATGAACTTGGCTCCCCTAGTCTCTGAGAACAGATAAGGCTAAATTCACTCATTCTTTTGGATTTTTTTTTTTTCTCTCACTTATTCACATACCCATCCACGCGGCATCTGTGTTTGTGCCAGGAGTCAAAATGAAATGACCCATTCCTCGCCCTGCAAGTACTCACAGCCCAGGCAGCACACTGTCCTACAAACAATGAGCTATGTGTGATAGTTACGCTAATGTGGATGTGCCCGGCATAGAAAGAACACGGAGGAAGAAATGTTGAAGTCAGCCTTGGAAGCCAAGGGCAGTTTCACAGACATATACTGAAAAAAAAAAAAAAGGAGAATGCAAAGGATCTTGTGCAATCCTAGCGTAGTGGTTACGAATCGGGCTGCGAACCTTAAGGTCAGCGGTTCGAAACTACCAGCCGCTCCGCGGGAGAAAGATGAGGCTTTCTACTCCCGTAAAGATTTACACCCTCGGAAACCCTGTACAGGGTCGCTATGGGTCGGAACCGACTCGACGGCACTTAACAACAACAACAACAAGTATGAGAAGAAAGAGTTTGCCAGGCAGAGAAGAGGCAGGAATGGATGGAGGAGGGGAGACTATACTGCTTGAGGAAAGCTGTAGAGATAGGTCATCACAGGTGGGTCTGGGATAGGCTGGAGGTTTCAGTGAAGGATGGGGGAAGGAGGCATGGAAGAAGGGCAGGAGAGGCAACTCAAAAGCCAGGTAGGGGCTATAACGGACATGGGGGTAGGCCTGTCTAGCTCACACCCCTTTCTTTAGAAGCATCTCCTTCTCACCTCAAGTCCCTGATTAACAAATGGGAAGCAGGTGGCTTTGACAACGAATCAGACCAGAGGGAAGCATCTGGTTTAAATTATGGTCATAGTTAGGACTAGATTGAATTTAGGGCTAGGAGTAAGGCTTGTTCTAGTTTTAGGGTTACAGTTAGATTTATTTTTATTTATTTTCTTCCCTTGAAATCGACTTGATTTTCTCTTCATTTGGAAGTTCTGTAACTACCTTATTTCTTCTTTTTACTTTAAGTTTTTATTGTTGTTGTTGTTGCAAACCGGTTATCTCTGGTTCCCTATTTTCAGGCTTCTAGGTTTTAAGCAGCTCTGATAGCATAATGGTTTACAAGTTAGGCTGCTTACAGCAAGGTCAGCAGTTTGAAACCACCAGCTGTTACAAGTTACGTGGGAGAAAGATTAGGCTTTCTTGCTCCCATGATGATTTACAGCCTAGATCATTCACTGTGAGCTGGAACCAACTCCAAGCACATCACCACTACGAGGTTAGTTTTATTTTGAATACCTCTCTATCTGTGTTGAGTTCTGGGTGATATTGTCATGTATGTTTGTTTCCCAGGTTGTTGTTGACTCTTTGTCCAAAGAATTCATTTTAATATATTTGTAAGGTTGGTCTGGATTTTACAAATTCTTTTTATTTCTGTTTGAGATGTCCTAATTTCACCTTCATATTTGATGGACAATTTTGCTGATGTGGCACTGTAGAAGAAATGCAGGACTGCAAAGTCAGTTTGAACCTCAAGATTGGTGTGGTTCAAACTCATCCCCCCCCCGGAAACCCTCCATCAGTCACTGAGTCAGAACTCACTTGGCCGCGCTTAACAACAACATAAAATTCTTGGGTGGCAATCTTTTTCTTTCAGAGTTTTATACATGTCATCCCATTGTCTTCTTACCTGTATGGTTTCTACTGAGAAACCAGAGCTAAGTCTTATTAGTTTTCCTTTTAGGTAACTTTTTGCTTTCCTGAGCTTCTGTCAGGAATCTTTTTTGAGGAGCACTGAATCTCCCTCACGGGCTTCCTGACCTCCTTGTGGTAGGTGACAGACAGGCTGCTGTCTCAGTCAGCAGGGACTTGAGAGAATTTTTTTAATTGAAATTTATTTTGCGATTGTACGTTCGCATATACTTGTAAAAAATAATAAACAGAGAAAACACTGTGTATGTTGCCCAGTTTTCCCCAATGATAACATTTTGCAAACCTGTAGTATAATTTCACAATCGGGATATCAGTCTTTAGATTTCCCAAATATACTTGTACACATGTATGCCTTTGCACGTGTAGGTGTGTTTTAAGTTCCAGTCAGTCTTTGGAAGACAAATGTTTAAAAAGGAAAGCAGATGGCTCCTGAGAGCTTCTGTGGTTTCTAAGGAGCGACTGGTGGGTTTGAACTTCCAACCTTTGATTAGCAGTCTAATGTTTAAAGTGCCGCACCAGAACCTCAATTCTAGAGGTCCTCAAATGTGGGACTTTGATCAATATCCCCCTCTTCCCCATCTTCGGTGACTTCTAGAGTGGGGCTCTGCAGTGGCCAGTCCTGGGGGAAAGGTGGTATTGTATACCTGTGTGAAGGACCAGGGGTCTTTGGTTACTCTCTCTGTAGAAAGGGGTTGGGGGGTGGGAGGGTTGTGACCCAGTCATTAATGCCAGTCCATCAGTGGTAGAAATGAGTAGCTGGGAATATAAAAATCTTAACCAACCCAGCTGTGAGCCATACTTTGACTTCTAACTCCACCCCTCACACTCCCGGCTGACAGTGCTCATCTGCAGAGAAATAACCGTTAGGTGACGTCCAAACTCGGCGTTTACAGCTATGAAAGTTGTGTATGGTATAATTCCAGGGACACTGGTCACATATACCCATTATCAGCACATATGATTACTGTTATAAATATTTCTACTAGATGGCGGTACAGTGTCTTGAGAAAGTGGGGTCACTTTCTAATTTGTAAAATGTCTCCATATGGGTTAGAAGTGGATCTGACAAATCCTAAGAAGGAGAGAAGGAACAACATGGAAGTCATCTGCAGTGTGGGTCCCAGAATATCAGAGTGGCTGTGTGTTCCTCCCTAGGCCAGGATTCACTACAGGGTCCACTCTGCGGGAAGAAGCTTCCTTCTACAGCCTCGGCTATCCTGCCTGGTACTGACCCTCTCGAGCAAACCCAACAGAGACTTATGAAATTCTTAAATAATAATCAGAAACCAAGTTGGCAGAGGCAGCCCACCCAACTTCTGCGTAAGAGGCCTGATAGGGGAGAAGTACAGATGGAAGGGGAGCGAGCACTAGAAGGGCAGCAGTTAGTGGACAAGACTCAGAGCACAGATGATGGACACCTGGGAGACAGTCGCTTTAGGATGGTCCTCCTGGGATTCGGTGTCCCAGCAACCTGGGCACCCTCCTCAAACTGAAGCAGAGGAATCTCTTTGCTTTACTCTTCTCCCAACCCATTCACCCTTTTGCAAAATGACCTAAACTATCATCGTCTTTGTCAGTACTTGGAAGGGGCTGGTCAGCAGAAACCCTGTTACAGTGGGAGGGCACACAGAGACCAGGGACCACCCCCCCAACTCCATTTGCATTCTCTATTCAGGAAACTGCTTATAAAACTTCCCACCAGAGGGGCTTACTGAGAAAACATAGGACAATAAAAAAAGCCTTAGGAGATGAGCAAAGATGAAAACATGGCAGAAAATATCAGTTCAGATGGAAAAAATACAATAGGCTAAAAAATAAGTCTTTTCAAAGAAAACCTTCCTTTTAAAACAGCATTTGGTATTCTTGCTACTTAAAAAAGATAACATTAGTACTTAGCAGTTTCATAAGAGCTTCCAACATGCCAATTATCTGAGATCAATCAAGCCCTGGGGATAAAGGTCAGTTCTCCTAGCTAACTCTCAATGGAGGACTTGAGTAGGCTGAGGGGGCTGCGGTCTGAGTTCACTTCTAGCATCCTAGCCCTGTAGGCCCCCAGCTGTGGGGACTCCTTCCCCATCTACTGCCCTAATTCAGCCCCACACCGGCCCTCAATACTTTCAAAAACATTTTGAGATCTAATTCACAGATGATACATTCTACCCTTCTAAATAAGGAGCTCTGGTAGCACAGTGGTTATGAATCGGGCTGTGAACCTCAAGGTCAGCAGTTCGAAACTACCAGCTGTTCTGTGGGAGAAAGATGAGGCATTCTGCTCCTGTAAAGATTTACAGCCTCAGAAACCCTGTATAGGGTTCGCTATGAGTCAGAACCGACTCCATGACACACAGCCACCACCAGCCTTCTAAAGGGTACAATTCTGTGGTTTTTAATATATTCAGAGTTGTGTAAACCCTCTACTGTTGCCAGGGAGTAAGCACCAAATCCTGGTGACTCCATGTGTGGCAGAGTAGAACTGTGCTCTGTACTGTTTTCAGTGGCTGATAGTTTGGAAATAGATTGTCAGACTGTTTTTTTGAGAATCCTCTGGTTGGATTAAAATGACCAACATTTGGGTTAGCAGCAAGCGCGTTAATTGTTTGCAAGGATAGCTCTTACCTAACTCCAGAACACTCCACCACCTCAAAACTAAGTCATTTCTAGCAGTCACTTACTGCCCCCCCTGCCTTGGCAACCAGTTATCTGCTTTCTGTCTCTGTGGATTTGCCAACTCTACATATTTTATATCAAAGGAATCATACACTAAGTGGCCTTTTGTGTCTGGCTTCTGTCCCTTAAACATGTTTCCAGGGTTCATCTGTCTTGTAGCATAACCCATGTTATTGCTCCTTTTTATGGCTGAGTGATATTCCATTGTAGGGATAGTATACCACAGTTTGCTTATCCCTCCATCAATTATTGGACATTTGGGTTGTTTCCCATTGCTTCCCAGAGGACTACTGGTGTTGCTAGCTCAGTTTCCTTGGTCAGGTGGAGAAGATAAGCTATAGCACCTCCCCACTAGAGGAATCAGGAAAGGAAGAGAGATGCTAAATTTCTAGGACTTGAATGGCCAAGAGATGGCGCAGTGGTATATAAATGGCACTCCATGGCATCGGGGGAGCTCACAGAGAAATCTGTGTCCTCCTACTGAGGATTTGCTCAGACCTGAATCCCTGGGCATCACAGCAGCCCTGGGTATCCTTCCGCTCCCTTCTGGTCTAAGTGGAGGATCTCAGGGAGCTGGGGCCTGAGTCAGATGGCTGTGACCCTGGCCCTCCACTCTGCTCCATGCAGAGCATTTATCTTGAAGTAGATTGCAGGATAAGACTGTGTCTGCGAGACTGAATCTACCTGTGTGGAGGACAAGGCTCTCTGGAACCATAGTCTTTCTCTTTGTCATTGTCTAACAGTGCACAGTTTGACCCTATGTGCACTGATGGCTCATCTATGGGGTGAGGAAACTTCCAAAGACTAGAGAGGTTGTCGGGACAGCTTCTCTGGATCTCTGTGACTCAGAGTCTCCCAGAAAGTGGACCGACAGGGGCAGAGAGCTCCTGCCCCCACTGCCAGACATCCCCAAGGGGGTGGCCCCAAGAAAGTCACCTGGTTAGCACCATGAGGGAGTGGAAGGCCTGGTTTTTAGCTACTCACAGAGCCCCAGCATTGCTTTGGGTTTGTGATACTTAGAAGGACCCCTCAGGCTGCTTGGAGCCCCAGGGGTTAACGAAGCTGTTTGGAGCAGGGTGGTGTAAGAATAAGCAAGGTTTTTGTTTCAAAAATTCTATTTTTAGTAGAAGTTGGGATATGCTTGGACCAAATGGGGGGAATCTAGTGCTGAAAAGGAAAGACTCCAAAGCTGGGGTGGTGGGGGAGGAGGATGTTCCCACTAAAAGCCACGTCGTGTGTTCCTTGCTCCTCCACTGCCGATTTTGGCTGGGATGCCTTACCTCATGTGATTCCAATGTGCACTGGAGAGGTGGGCTCTAGTGGAAGAGGGCAGCTGGAGTTGTTTCATGAGGGGGCTCAGGAGCCACATTCTTTCTCTAGGCTTTGCCTACTCCTCCTCACACCTCCCCCAGCCTCCCCCACAGCCACAGCCAGCAGATGGCCAGGAAGTCTCCCTGGGTGTGTATGGAATGCGGTAAGGACACACTCACCTCCCAGGGCGTGTTCGGTCATACTGAGGCACAAAGACTCCAGCCTGTTGTTGATGTCAGGTTCAGTCACGGGGAGCTGGAATTCTGCAGGGGACAAAGCGGTATGTAGGTGACAGGGACTCTGAGGACAAGGAGAAACTTTGCGCAGTGCCATGTGGCTCCTCACAGGACAACTTTCAGGATGAAGGTCTCCTGTGCCTCCCTGGGAGGGACTCAGGAGGGACTGGCAGGGACACACTGAGCTTGCAAGTGATGTGCAGGCTCAATCAGCCCCTAAGGGCTAAACACAGAGTCCACTGTGAACATGGACTGGTGACAGGAAAACAGGTGACTACAAATAGCTGCCCAAAGTCAGCTTGTTGCTCCTCTGCTCACAACCTTCCAGTGGCTTCCCATCAGAATGAAAGCCAAATCCATGCCATGGCCCGTGAGACCCAGGATCTGGGCGCTTTCCTTTATTCCCCTAGGTCCTCTCCTGCTCCAGGGCCTTTGCACTGCTTTTCCTCTCCTTATAATGCTGGTTCCTGGAGGACCCTCTTCCTGGCTCTATCTTTACTGGTCTCCCCACACTCTCCCTCCCTTTCCCCTATTTTAATTTTTCTTTATAACCTTCACCACCAACATCTGACATGGTATGCATTTATTCCAGATCCCCTCCAGTTGAATATGTACTTCATTACCACAGGATTGCGCACCCCCCCATTTTAGCTTCATCACGGTGGGTGGGGGGGCAGCAGGAGGGCAGCCCCAGCATGGGGAGAATCTTTTCTGAGCCTGAGACTGTGCCCACCATGCTCATTTCTCAGGTCAGGCTGAAAGAACTCTTCATCATTCGGGGGCTAACATGGAGCTGACTCCAAAGCCTCTGGTCTCCTACATGTCACACACGCAGTGTCACTGTGCATCAGCAGGTCACTGTAAACCCTTTCAGCCTCCAAGCGTGTTAGAATGAAGGGCATCCACTCAACAGTGGAGGCAAAGCTGTGTACATTATAAACACATCTTTCCCTCCCCCATCCTTAGACTGAAGCCTCACTTCAGCCCTTGGGAGACTCCTCCTCTGTCCTGCTAGGGCCCTCACTGTCAACACCCCACCCCTCATCCCACAGAGCCTTGAGTGTCCTTGACTAGAGGCTGGGTGGTACGTTCATCTTTCTCTGGGGTTCCCAGAGTACCCTTTGCAGTGGCCTTCTACACACTGCAAAACATGTCTATCGAGTGTTGAAAAATGATGGTGTAAGAAGTAGAGGGAAAGTCTAACAGCTAAGAATTGTGTAAATGTGTAGATGGCTAAATACTTTGCTGATAACAAAAGGTTAAGGAGTTCTGGTAGCATTGTGGTTATGAGTCGGGCTGCTAACGGCAAGGTCAGCAGTTCGAAACTACCAGCTGTTGTGTGGGAGAAAGATGAGGCTTTCTGCTCCCATAAAGATTTATAGCCTCGGAAACTCTGTACAGAGTCGCTGTGAGTTGGAACCAACTCAATGGCCCTTAACAACAACAATAACAAACAAAAGGTTAGAGGTCTGAGTTCACTGAGAAGTGCGTAAAGAGAAAGGCCTGTGGAACACCTAAAAGGGGTTCTAGAACTTGCCCAGTGAAATAGGCCTCTTGCAAAGCCTTTGCAGAGTATAGGACCTTAAGTGGAATCCTGAGTCCCATCCAGAACCTTCTGAGGTGGGACATTCCCACTAGCAAGGACAAACAGACCAGCGTGGGACAGCTAGAATGATAGAAGACACATCTTCCAAGAAAGATCATCAGGAAAAACCCAAAACAAAAATGTCAGCATGAATGGCTACTACAAGAATAAGCAAGCTGAAGTTGGCGGTTTGGTGAGATAGGAAATTGAAACCAATGGCTAAACCAAAGTATTTGTTTTCCTTGCTTAGCTATACACTTAGACTTCTTGGCAATCTGGGTTCCCCATTACCAGCAAATTCAGAGGCAGTTGCCGTTTCTGTTATTTACATAGAGAAGATCGGCAAAACGGACAAAAAGTAAAAGAATCAGGGAGCCGACAGTGTTCCTTCTGACACAAGTTCTACCATCTTTGGTTTTGGAGCACAACAATGCCAACTCATGACTAGATGGAAGTTGAACAAGCTTCCAGGGAAGCCAGCGAGAGGATAGTGGGACACATTTTCTCTCTTATCCTCCTCCCAGAGTTGGGCTGGACAATTAGATGATCCTAAAGGCAAGAGTATTGTAGTATTTTTATCCATTCATGTGAAAATAATATGCATGCAAAAATTAGCAGCCTTCAGGGTGTGAAATCTATAAAATAGAAACACACAATTTTATATATAGCCAGTTAGCAAATATGAAAAAAAAAAAAAAAATCTCTCAGCAATTATAGCCACCCATATGCTCATTGTAAAATTTAGTTTACTCTCTAGCACTCCCCTTTAAACAAACACTGTGGAGAGATTTGGATAAATAAAGATGCTCGACATTTGGAGAGAAGTGTTTCAGCTGCAGAATTTCTTGCCAAGACGCAGCAAAATGCCATTTTCCAAGCCTGAGATTGTGCGTTCCAAGAAGGGGGCTGAGCAATGTTGGGCTTTCCGCTCCAGCTCTCCAAACCTTAGTGGCTGCTCTTTTAGGTTGAAAGTTGGCTGGCTGGCTTTTCCGCCCCCAGATCTCACTCTGATGCAGTGGGGAGTTGTGAAGATGGTTCCACAGCCCCTTGTCACGGTGAGAGTGGCTCTGAACACTCTAAGTCTTGGTAGAAGAAGCCCATATGTTCAAACTCCAGAGTTTCCTAATAGCGTGACTTTTTAATTGTGTATTTGATAAAAACAGATCCATGGCATCTCACCACACACACAAGGCAGACGGGAGACCAGCTTCTATTCTGTCTCAAGCTAGAAAAGCTCAGTCACATGTCACCAGGTAGGCAGGGCTCTCACCAAAGGTTCCAGGAGGGGCAGTCAGGCAGAGCTCCTGCCCCACTGGCCCACATTAAGCAGCAGGCCAGTTCTTGCTAAAGCTTCATAAATCAGCGCAGTACGCTAAGCTGGTCAGAAGAACAAACAGATGAATCATGAAGAAATACAACTAGAATGGTCCTGAGAAGCAATGGTGATGAGGCTTTGGCTTGTTTATTTTGGACACACCATCAAACAAAGGCTCGTCATTAGAAAAGGGCCTATCTTAGCTGTTAAACAGAGGGTCATGGAACACGAGGAATATCCTCAATGAGATGGTCTGACACAATAGCTAAAACCATGGACTCTGACATAGCAAAGAGTGTGAACATAGCGCAGAACAGGGCAGTGTTTCATTCTGTACCCATAAAGTTGCTGTGAATTAGAGCCATCTCGACAGCCCCTAACACCACCAGAAAAAAAAGTCAAGGGTTCATCTCATAATTACTGAGCCAGTGACAGTCCCCCGTAAGGCAACAAGGAACAGACCCTCTTATTAGTCTTCTCTACTCTTGCTGCTACCCTCAAGGTCGGCAGTTCAAAACTACCAGCTGTTCAGCGGGAGAAAGATGAGGCTTTCTGCTCCCGTAAAGATTTACAACCTTGGAAACCCTACGGAGGTTCACTATGAGTCGGAACCAACTCCACAGTACTTAACAACAACAACAACTCTTGCCCAAAGTAGTCCTATTTCTTCAGCTCAGGTGACACCTCCAAGTACTAGGAATTTGTTCTTGTAAAAAACTATTTTTTAAAAAAGCTTTTTATTGTGATTAGGGTGAGGGTGAACTTTTACAGAGTAAATTAGTTTCCCCTTCAACCATCCATACACAATTTGTCTTGGGACATTGATTGTACTGCCCATAATGGGACACCTGCCCTCTTCCCACTTGGTCCCTGCATTTCCCAGTTCCATCTGCTTTTCTTTCCGGCTCCTTCCTGACTTCTGAACTTTAAATCTAAGAGGGCTGATTGTCTAAGGTATGCTACCGTCCTGCTGTTACTGTTGTTATGTCCCTTACGACTCACAGAGACCCTGTGTAGGGTTTCCAAGGAATGGCTGGTGGTTTTGAACTGCTGACCTGTGGTTAGTACTCCAGTGCTTATCACACAGCGCCACACCAGGCCTCCCTTGGTGTTAGGATTCTTTCCTTTATCTTTAGCCTATGAGCGCCACATTCCCAGGTAGGCCTGCGGCATTCCAATGGCCCTGGGTAGAATTCCAATTATGAGCTGGTGCTTAGGAAAGGTTTGTGAACAGATATGTCACAACATGAAATGCTGCCTTGTAATGAGCCACCTGATCCATCCCACATCCAGGCAGTTCAGCACAGAGGGCAGTTTGCGTAGAGCTTTGTGCAAAGAAAAGACAAGATCCCCAGCGTGCAGCTCTGTGAGGCTGTGCAGCCTCCTCTCCCTGTGGTTTTCCTTTGAAGCTGACTTCTGACCCCTCTGCCCCTTTTCATCAGGCCGGCAGGCGGTGTGACGCCTCCATCACCTCCCAGCATGGCGCACAGTTGCTCTAAGATCCTCTCAGATTGGACCTGAGAGTGCTGAGCTCAGGTTAGCAGGAACAGAGCTGCTTCCAAAATAAATGATCGTTCCTCCAAGCAGTTTCCAGACTAATTTTCCAGTTGGGAAAACACACCCTGCCTTTACAATGAACATGACTACTCTAGCCCAGACTACACCCTGATAAGTGTCTAAGACCTTGTTCCCAGAAAGGACCAGGTTAGTGCTTGCTACTGGTCCCAGAGGGCCACCGGAGACAAACTTCACCTGAAGGCTCTCCTGGCTGCTGGTTCTGGGAAGCATTTAAGTCACTCCATATGGAAATAAAGCTCAACATCCCCTCCTGTGATGGCCTCTAAGGGGCCTGTGGATTTATGCAGATCCACGAAAGCGTATAAGGCTTCTTAGGAAGACTGATCAATTAATACATCACTTGGAGGCTGGGTTTAGCCCATCTTTTCTATATTCTTTGGAGACACTTAGAGTCTTCCATCACTTTAAAGGAATGTTTTTTAAGTTTATAGGATCATTGCTTCCTTATTGCAAGACTATATCGTAGTCTTCAAGATTTACCCACATGGTTTAAGACGAGTTCTTACAAGAACTCAAACAGCCAGGAGGGAAACCCTGTGCTATGTTGTCACACACTCTTCTGAGTGTCTCTTGCTAGGTCAGTCCCATGTCTCCATTCCACTGGGCATTCACTGTTACGATGCTCATATAAAGATGAAGCCGTCTTCTGCCTTCGCAGTATTATCCTTAAAGTCTAGTCCTACCCCCAGCCAACCAAAAAACCATCATCAAGTCAATCCTGACTCCTAGAGTCCTGATAGGACAGAACAGAAGTACTCCAGAGGGTTTCCAAGGTCAAAACCCTTATGGAAGCAGATTGCTGTATCTTTCACCCAGGAACAGTTTGTGGGTTCAAACCTCTAACCTTTCAGTTAACAGCCAAGTGCTTAGCTACTGCACTACCAGGGTTCCTATAATCCCTAGACGTCTCCATGGCTAGTCAGGTTGTGCTGTGTTCTGTGGAACGGCCCAGACACAGAGGAGATGTGCCCAGCTGATCTGTGAGATCCTGACTTTCTAGGACAAGCCTTCATCAGGTCCTGGCTATAGTGATAAGAGGGGCAGAGAGGCTGTCCATGGTGACGAGCTGTCTCCTCCAGAAGACGGAAGGTTACAACAGTGACGCGTGGTCTTGAAATCCAGCATTTGATCTGCGAGGGCAGGGGATGCACTTGGAGCCCTGGACACAGGCTTCAGAGGCTGTGGCTGGAACTTTCTGCAGATTCCTTTTCCTTCAGTGGGGAATCCTGGGCTGTAGCTGGGCCCTGGGTCACCCTTCATGACAGCTCCCAGGAAGAACCACCTGGCATTGTGAGAAGGGGCTAGGCAGGGCTTTGGAGTGGCCTCTGCCAAGCACACTCCAGTTTAACTACACCAGGAAACATGAAAGTGCCCCATTCCCATGTCTTAACCATGGCTAGGCATGCAGTAGTTCATTAACACTTTGTTGGGAGTGGGTTTGTGATGCTTGGATGAGAGGCTAATCAAACAAAACAAAACAGAACACCTTAAGAGTTCCAGAGTTCTAAAAACAACATGTAAACACATTATTAAAGCAGCTCTGGTAGCGTAGTGGTTACGAATTGGGCTGCTAACCTTAAGGTTAGCAGTTCAAAACTACCAGCAGTACCATGGGAGAAAGGTGAGGCTTTCTGCTCCTCCAAAGATTTACAGCCTCAGAAATCCTATGCCGGGTTAGCTATGAGTCAGAACCGACTCCATGGCACACTATCACCATCACCACCACCACCACCAGGAAAACAGAAACCAAACTGCTTTAAGTGGCTGCCTCTGGGACTTGGCACTGGGGCAGAGGGCTGCTGACTTACAAGCCTTTCTGCATGATTCAACTTTTTAACCATGGGAGCAAGTGGCTTAGTGTGAAGAGGTAGAACGATGCGGGGCTTCTGGGAGGCTGCGCATGAGCTGAGCACTCAGTGCTGCTGTAAAACTGCAGCAGGAAACCAAGGTGCAGGTGAAGAATTGGCACCAAGAGACCCAACTGCTCCTCCCCTAAGTCTCTGGGGTGGCCCTGCTTCTTAGAGACTGGACAGTCTGAGCCTACTCTTCCCAATCCACATGGACAAAAGGAAGGACAGAGGATTTGGAAAAGAGCCACAGCAAAAGAAGTTGGAAAAAATCGAGATGCCACAAGAGTTGAAGAACAGTAACTATGAACAGTTTCCTGAGAGCTGGCAGGACAGCTAGGCTGCTGTCAGCTCGAGGCCTGGCTGAACTATTCAGCGGGGAGGTCCATGATTTCCTCATTTCAGGGTTCTGCAATCCTTGTCCAAGTTTCCTTTATCAGGAATAAATCACACCTAATTCTATGGAGAAATACATTATGGAACTAAGTGATCCAGGGAGAAGGCCTTCACAACTCCCAAATTTTATCAAGTGTTTCTTCCTAGGAAGAAAAATAGCCTCAAATGTCAAAATAGAAAAAAGGAGTTTAAAGACAAAAGAGAGCAACAAGATTCATTCTAGAAGCTAAAGAAGCACTTCTAACATGAACTAGGACCATGTGGATGTTCCTTTTCCAGAGGCTGCTCTTTCACACCCTCTAGGCAAGCCATTCTCCATGTGCATTCCCATCTGACCCCCTTTGAAATTCCTCCATAGATTCCTCACTGGCAGCTACCAGAATCCAATCTCCTCAGTCCTGAATTCAAAGTTCTCCATGATCTGCTGCAATCTAGACAGCATCTTGGGTCTACTTCCGCTCTGGTCCCTTCTGCCTTTAACTCCACCCTCCTCCCTTTCCTCCCTCTTTACCTTTCGGTTCTTTGACAGTCAGCTCTGTCCCACATAGCATCCTTGTCTACTTCAGGCTCCAGGGATATTTCCCTTCCTTCTCCTCTGAGACTCACTGTGTGTAGGGTTTTACTGCTTTGGGTGCTTATTTTTCTACACGAACAACACATCTAAAGGGTCATTCTAGATAGGTGTGTGTATGCTTTTTAATTACTTTCATGCCTTTTTCTTACTCTTGGAGCCTGGTTTACTGCCTGCACACAGAAAGGGTTCAAATATTTGTTGTTGTTAAGTGCCATCGAGTCAGTTCCCACTCATAGTGATTCTGTATAGGGTTTTCTAGGAGCAGCTAGTGAGCTTGAATTGCCAATCTTGAAGTTCAAACCAACCTTGCAGTCTAGTGCATTAATCTGCAGTGCCACTCCAGGACTCTAAATGTTTGTTAGCAATACACAAGATTAAATTTTCTTAAATTGTGCCAAAAAGCAAAACAGTCACCATAGAGTGGATCCAACTCATGGTAAGTCCATGAGTGTCAGAGAAGAACTGTTCTTCATGCGGTTTTCAATGGCTGATTTTCCAAAGGAGATGGCTAGACTTTTAAATCTCCAACCTTTTGGCCAGAAGCTGAGCCTGTTAACTGTTTGCACCACTCAGGGACTCTGGAAGTGTGAAAAGATGCTACTTAATTGAGTAAAGGGGAGAAGGCTGGTCCCATTCGCAAAGCAATCCCAAACCAGGTAGAAAGGTCTCATAGCCTCAACATGACTGTTTTTCTTTCCCTGTCTGTCTCACACTCTCTCTGAACACACACACACACTACACACACACACATGGAACCCCATCCCTCTCTCACCAAAGCCCTCCAGTGCTGTCGATGCTTTAATCACACTAGAAATAGGACTAGTATCAAAAATAGCCCTCATCAGATTGCAACCGACTTTGGGGCTGCATGTGCTGGCTCCCAGCCAGCCAGCCGCGATTCATGCTGGCAAGGCTTCTGTGAGCTCCAGTGAATGCGTGGTGACTTTCTGGCTGAGTTCACCGGGGCACCTATTTTGGCATCCAGGGGAGAAGTGAGGAGAAGCTCAGATGCCAGGCCTACCTGGCTGCTGGAGCATCAGCATGTTCTGCGGAGAAGTGTGCACAGGCAGCGAGCGGGTCCTTTGGACTGAGCTGTGGGTGCGGCTTGGCATGCTGTTGCTGCCCCCAGGGTTGGCAAACCAGAGGTTCTAGTGAGAAATGAAAAAGGGGGCCATCAGCTTAGACAGCCTGGGAGGGCCTCCAGCCCGAATCCAGGCAGGAGGCAAATGCCATCAGGGAACTCTCTGCAAACTTCTGGTAAAGAGCTCCCAGGCAAGCATAATCCTCTTCCTGTTTATAGAGAGAAGGGGGTGGATTCCATTTATTTTATTTTTGCTTCTCCTCACCTCTCCCAAGCCTCTAAACCTCAGCTTTATTCTGAGAGCCTCTTTCTATCACTGGCTTCAAACCTCTTTAAGCTTCCCTTGCCTTGCCTTTGCTTTGCCTGTCACTTTCCTAGGAAACAGGGGCAGTTCTAGAAGTATTTGCAACAAAGGGCACAAACTATTTCAAGGCTTTCAGTGGACTTGCTTTCTGAGATTCTAACAGTTTATTCCAAAGGTGGGGTTGGGGGAAGAGGAACCTCTCTGCTGGTGTTAGGACAGGGCTGTTGTAACAGTCGCTTCTTGAAGCAACCTGGCAGGGGGGTCAGGACAGCAGGCAGCAAAGTGGGGCTTTCCAATCTATGCTTGCTGCTACGAGTCAATCCTACTGGCTTGCCTGGTGCCATTTTCCTGCTTATAAACGAATTCCTCATCCCTTTGTTTTATTTTGAAAACCCAGAACCTCAGGCCTGTCTGTGTCCACCACAAAGCCAGCTTTGGGCGAGGGCAGGTTAGAGGAGGGAGGGGCACAGGACAGAGCATGTGGCCTTAACTGGCTGAGGAAGTTTCCCCTCTGCCTCCCATTCTCCACACCAGGTGAACTGAGAGGGAGGGGTTATTTTGCTACAAATAAAAAGGCAAAGAAAGAATCTTGCTCTGTGGTGTTTCGGGCTCCCCTGGAACCCTGACTTGCGAGGTGGAGGGGGTCTACTGGGCAGGTCAAGGATCAAGGTATAAAAGAAATAGTCTTGTATTTCTTCCTAATGGCCCTTTATGCATATGGCCTCCAGGTTAAAGTGCACCCCTAATCCAATCTCCACAAAGTCAGGCACAGTTATGGGGCTCTGTCTCCCAGAGGCACATTAGAGATAACTCTGGTGATCTCTGAGGCATGTGGGCACTGTCTCTCAGTTTCAGTCTCTTGACCAGCCCCTTCCCCCCCATGTAGTCACCTGGATAAAGGATGTCCTGAGCTTGGTTGGCCCTCCCTTTCCCCTCAGGCAGAACAAACCTGTCTTCCTTGTTTCATGATGGTGGGGTTGGCTGGGGTGTTGCGCTGGTTAGAACTGACGAATCCACTGGTGCCCAAGAGTCCAAGCCGGGCAGAAGGAATATTCCGTGAGGGGATCTGATATTGACGCGGGTTCCGTCTGCCCATGCCGCCACCCACTGAGCCGGCAGTTGGGAGGGAATTGGACTGCCCAAAGCCTCGACTGTGTGAAGGAACAAAGAACAATGCAACCATCAACCACTGGTCAATCCTTCTCAAATTCCAGCCTGCTAGGAGAATGCCACCTTGAGGCCTGCTCCCATTTTGCCAGTTATGACTCTGTGCCAGGAAGGGACCATAAGATCCATTCCTTGTGAGGATCATTGAACCACAAGAGCAGCAGTTCAAATTCAACAGCTGTACCTCTGAAACCCAATTCAGGGTGGCTATGGGTCAGAACCTACTCAATGAGAATAATGTCAGCTGAGTGTGTATTATGTGCAGGCAGCACTGTCCGGGGGCTTTACGTAGATTCTCTAATCTTCCCAACAACCCTATGTAGTGGACACTCTATTCCCACTTACAGCTGGAGACAAAACAGAGCTTAATAGCCTAGCAAGGGTCACAAGGCCAGCAGGGGGCAGCGCTGGAATGTGAGCTCTGCAGTCTTCCAAGTAGCATCTACGCACCGATGGGACACAGGTTCTGAGCCCCCATGTGCTGCTTTCCAAGAGGCCACGCAACAAGACAATAGTAGAGGCAGGATCAGAACTGTGGCGTCTGGTTCCTGTCCCCATGCCTGTTTTGTCACACAGTCTTCCATTTCTGATGTGCAAGCTGACTTGGAGGGGATGGCCAGTGAGCACCACTACACTGTCAACTCTATGAAAAAAATGGATGGTGGCAGTCTTCATCAATCTGGTATACCCCATATGTCAAATTCAGCTCCTAACACCGTAACTCATGTTGAGTGGATAAGTGAATGAATGAATGAATGGTACTGTCTTTGCCATCATCCTGCTTCTTTGGGGTCTGACTCCTGGGTTGAGAAACAGACTATGAGAATGGAGAGGATGATGTATGTAAACTTTCTAGAGCCAGGACCCAGGCTGCTCCTCACACCGACGGAGCTGGCAACGAGAAGGTCCAGACGGCTGACAATGATGCTCTGGGGTCCATTCAGGGAGGTGGCCCTGCCATCCACACACTGACGCCTGTACTCCTGTTTAGTCCGGTGACCTCAGCACTGAAGAACTTGTCCTCTTCAGCACATACATCAGGTTCTGGGAGGTTACGCACCAGCCAGCAGTGTTTCAGGAACCAGCACATTCTTTCCAAGAAGAGTCAGCTTTAGTCATTCAATGATGTCTAAGTCACAATGCTTTACCTCCAACGGCCACAAGATGGAACAGACTTGCTTTCTCCAGCTACGCAGAGGATACTCAGGAGGGAGGCAGCGCTGACGTAGTTTAGTAGGGGACCTACAAAATAGTAATTTCCTGCGAAGGAGAGTTGTGTGTGTGGTGTTTTAGGAGGAAGGGGGGCATCCAAGCCATCAGCAGAGTAGATCTCAGAAAAATTTTCTCTTCTGTCTGGAATTTCTAAATTCCGTAATGACAAAGGGGCAGGGAAGAAAAGTCCTTGATGAGCAAGTCACAACTGATTCCTAGGCTTGAGTGTTTCCATTTTCAGACTCTGATGGATGACAAAGGGGTTCCAGATTCCTGCCAGAGGCTCCCATAAATGTGTGTGAGCAACACTCAGAGGTTCTTGATCTCTGTTGATTTCATCCTTTCCCCTTGGCTTGCCTTTGTTCCTTCTTTCTGTTAAGGTTTAAAGCCTTTGAAAGAAGGAATTAGGGCCAGGAGGGGTAGAAGTACCTTCAAGGGATTAAAGTGCCCTGCTTTGGAGTATGAACCATCTGAGCTACATGACAGGTAGGGATGAAGAGCACGTGGCTTTTCTTTAAACTATGAAAGCTAGCTCTACGGTTTTTGGAACCGGAGATTTGGCCACCTGGTAGATGATTCTGCATTCTGCTCAAACTTGTCCTTATTTAGTGTGGGTAGCTTATGTACTCAGTCTCCCTTTTGGTTGGATTTTTAAAAAGTTATTTCATATGTAAAATACAGTTGGCTATGAGTGATGCTGAAGTGATGTGTGCTTCCAGAAAAGCAAGACTATATTTGTAAGCAATGTAATGTGGGCAGAGGATTCTGTTATGGGATACTTAGTCACTCACTGGAGAAAGGAGAGATCTTGGGACTCATGGAACTGGGCTAAAGGCAGGGGGTAGGGTCCAGACAGAGCATTTTGGGGTAAGGCAGGATCTAGAGGGAAAAATCTGACTAGACCATCTTTCTACTGAAAGTGGGGACCCTCTGTGGTATCTTTCAGTAATGGTTGGTCATTACAAAGCCAGATCTGTTAAGAGTCGGCAATGGTGGTAACATGAGTGAACATTTAGTTAAGATTGCTAGGCTTGATGGAATGATCATGCTAACTAGGGAGAGAAAACAGTGCAAAAGTAAGTTTGCCTTTCTCATTCTTTTGCTCTGCCCATCTGTGTCTCGCCTTCTCTGCCTTCCTAAATACAACCAACTGACTTCATTACATTTAAATGCACGGAAAGACTTTGATAAAATAACATGAATAAGAACCAATTAATTTGGGATTTGTAATAATTCAAGCAGGGGCTGGGTTGCAGTTACCTCTGTATTATCAGAGAAACAGAATTTCAAAGCAAATTAATAGCATAAAATGATCCCAGAGGTAATACTTATCAGAGAAAGAGAGAGGGGAAAAAAACAACAAAACTTCCTTGAGCTTTTGCCACATCTAATTGAACATCTACAATCAGTCATTGAATTCATTTGTATCTTATCAATAAAGAGAAGTCCATTAGGACTTCAACCGAGCAAACCATGGGTTAGCACAAATAAAATCATTAGTTAACGACACTCTAGGGCACCCAAGGTCACTGCCCAGCTCTGCCCTGAGCAGGGCTCTCAGATGTGGACCAAGGACAAAGTAGGTCGGCAGAGGCAGGAGGAACTAAGGTCAGGATGAGTGAAGAACTTCAAAGCTCTGCCTTCATCTTCAATCTCTGAATCTCTTCTTCTTGGAACTTGTCTCCCAAGGGTTTGGTGTTGCAAGAACGTCTGAATCCTCCTCCTCCCTTACTTGAGAGCAGTATTGCTGCTCTTAGGAAGACTTGGAAATGGGAATGGAAGCAGGTCCATGGGGAGGAGCAGACTATGTCTTCTGTTTGGGCCACTAGGAATCCTCAGGTTGCACACATGCTCCAGCCCAACCTACCGGGGGGGCAACCACAAAGGGCAGGGACCAGGGCTCCAGCAATAGAGTGCTGCTTTGTCTGAGACCCTGATTTTGATGTTCTAGATCATGACAAGATTTGATGCATTCAACACTGATTACTGACTGCCAGTAGAGTTGTGGGATGACATCAAGAGCATCATACAGGAAGAAAGCAAAACATTGTTAAGAAGAAAAGAAAGAAAGATCAAAATGGATGTCAGAAGAGACTCGGAAACTCACTCTCCAGACTAGAGATGCTAAAGCAAATGGAAGAAATGAGGAAGTCAAAGAGCTGAACAGAAAATTTCAAAGGGCAGCGCGACAAAAGAAAGTCTTATAATAATGAAATGTGCGAAGACCTGGAGTTAGAAAGCCAAAAGGGAAGAACATGCTCAGCATTTCTCAAGCTGAAAACACTGAAGAAAAAATTCAAACCAAGATTTACAATATTGAAGGATTCTATAGGCAAAATATGGAGTCCTGGTGTGGCACTGTGGGTTAATGCGCCAGACTGCAAAGCCGTTTGAACTGCAAGGCCGGTGGTTCAAGCTCATCAGCTGCTCCTTGGAAACCCTATACAGGGTTGCTATTGGTCGGAATCAACTCGACGGCACTTGACAACAACATAGGCAAAATATTGAATGATGCAGAAAGCATCAAAAGAAGATGGAAGGAATACAGAGTCACTGTACCAAAAAGAGATGGTCAATTCAACCATTTCAAGAGGTAGTATAGGATCAAGAACCAATGGTACTAGCTGATGAAAGGAGATACAGATGGGTAACTCGTGATACTGTAGTGAATAATGCTTATCAGGATGGACTATGAGGGCTGAAAATGCAAAGGTAGAAGTTTTGTAACAAGGAAGGGAGTGATTAATTCTCCAGGATAGGAGCAGAGGCCTCTGGGACAATCAACAGAGAAGAGCCAAGAGCGGGACCCTACCCAGAGAAACAGAGATGCCTGAGATAGAGACAGAGATGATGATGTGGAGTGATGAAGCGACTGGGGACTTCAGACCCAGAGAGGGAAAGGGACTGTGGGCCGAAAACTGGGGGGAGGAGGGGGAAGTGTAGGGGGCGGGGTTCTGGGATATACCCTTTGGGTGGTTGATGATGCATGGAGGGGATTGGAACCATGGCAATGAGATGATATATGATGGAATGAATGTAAAACTAAAGTTCTCCCATGTAAACGATCATATAATTCACAATAAAACATAAAAAAAAAAAGAACCAATGGTACTGAAGGAAGAAGTCCAAGATGCACTGAAGGTATTGGCAAAGAACAAGGCTCCGGTAATTGATGGAATACAAAAGGAAACCTTTCAACCAACTGATGCAGCTGCATGTTGTTGGCAATGGTTAAGAAAGCACAGCCTTTGAAGCTACTCTGGCTCGGCCCAAAGTCTGGATCAGTCACTGCCTACTGACTATCCCAGTTGAGCTTTTGACCACTATACTACTCTAGGGGTCCTATTGTTGTTAGGTCCATTGAATCAGTACTGACTCACAGTGACCCTATGCACATCAGAAGGAAACACTGCCCGGTCCTGGGTCAACCTCACAATTGGTGCCATGCTTGAGCCCACTGATGCTGCCACTTTGCAAATCCATCTCGCTGGGGGTCTTCCTCGTTTTCTCTGCCCTCCACCTTACCAAATATGATATCTTTCTCCAGTGACCAGTCCTCCTGACAGTATGTCCGAAGTATGAGAGATGAAATTTGGCCATCCTGGCCTCCAAGGAGCACTCTGGCTGCACTTCTTCCAACACAGATCTGTTAGTTTTTCTGGCAGCCCATAGCACTTTCAATATTCTCCTCCAACACCACAACTCAAAAGCATCAATTCTTCTACAGTCTCCCTTATTCACTGTCCAGCTTTCGCATGCATCTGAGGTTATTGAAAACACCATGGCTTGGGTCAGGTGCACCTTAGTCCTTAAGCTGACAGCTTTCTTCTTCAACACTTTAAAAAAAGGTCTTGTGCAGAAGATTTGCCTAATGCAATACATCGTTTGATTTCTTGAATGCTGTTTTCATGAGTGTTGATGTTTGATCGAAGAAGAATGAAGTCCTTGGGAACTTCAATCTTTTCTCTGTTTATATGGATGTTGTTTATTGGTCCAGTGGTGAGGATTTTTGTTTTCTTTACATTGAGATGTTGATCCATACCGAAGGCTGTGGTCTTTGATCTTCATCAATAAGTATTTTAATTTCACTTTCAGTCAGCAAGGTTGTATCATCTGTATATCACTGGTTGTTAAGGAGTCTTCATTATAAAAAGATATACTTGATGAATATATCAGGTATAAATTTGTATACATGCTTGATATACTCAAGTCTATATAAAAATATCCTTATATATACTTGAATATAACAACACGTCACTGTTTTAAGTTTATCTTTGATGAAAATATTCTATAAGCTCAAATTGGCCCTCTCTCCTTTAAAGAACATAAAACTATGATGTTTTAAGGCATATTTATGTAAATAAATGCTAAAATTTTAACAACAGAGCTTCTATATATGCATTGGGAAATGATTTCAGAACTTTTAAGGTGGACATGAAAAAACACTATCTGTGCATGTTTAAAAAAGATAGAATGTTGATCTTTCAGGATGTTTGTACTCTATCCCTTTTCTCCTTGCAACTCCCTGCCATTCTTCAAGGCTTAACTCCCTGCCTCAGCCTCTACTCTCCCCTAAATTTCACTGCAATTCACCTTTAATATGCAATTAGATTCCTCAATTTAAAACCATATTAAGGTAATGGGTTCTAAAGTACAACTAGGCTTATTTTTAACTGCAGCCTAGAAGCTGAAGTAGTATGAAAAATCAAGAATGGTACCACTCCACTATTAGACTGCAGCTCAGACCAAAATAGACTAGCATTGGGCTCTTACCCTGCCACCAACTATAATTAGCTTGTCTGCATCTAGAAGGGAGAAAAAATTACACTACCACTTCAGGTGCTCATAGAACAAACCATTTTTGTCCTTTCAGAGTCTCCTGGAGCAGGTAAGCCACTAGGGACTTTTGTTAGGATTCCTTAAATCCTACCCTCCACCCCCAATACACATACACATACCCAGTTTAGTGTTGTCATTCTAACAATGTAAAGTGAGTTACAAAAGATCACTCTGAGCTCTTCCACTGGGAACATCTCTCTCTCTCTCTCTAGCCTTTTCCCAACCCTACCTGCTGAAGGAATGAGGTTTGGAACAGGACATTTGGCAACTAGATGAAAAAGGAATGTCATCCCCCCCCTACCCCAACACACACACACACACACACTTCCTGCCCCAGGAACTGAGGTAGGCATCCAGGCACTGGGGAATCATCATACATTACAAAGAATGAAATCCCAACATACTTTCTTTGCTGTCGATATCCTGATATGTCTAGAAGGGTTTTCCGAGGGAAAGACCGAAAGAGCTTCTGCACCTGCTGTTTCCATGACAACAATCTTTTCTTCTGTGTCTCTGTAAATGCCTGCAAAAACAAACAGGACTTGAAAATGGGTGACACAGCCTGGCATTAGGGGGAGAAACATGCAATCAATGTGGGAAAACATTGGAGTCTCTGCAGTTGCCTTTTCGTCACCTGTCTTCATCCTGGTTCAAACAAGAGTCAGTTAAATTTCAGAGTTGCGTGCACTGAGAACTCCAGGTCTTTGACACTGGAGACACCTGGAAATGATCTGAGGTCTATGCATTATGCTTCGGACAAGCCTCTGTTTGGGAGTTGTATTTTTGGCAGATCCCACTTTCCCTATCCTACCGATGCCAATCTGGACTCTATTTATTAACCAAGAATGAATTGCAAAATTGATTGTTAGATGCTCTGGCTTTTGCAGGCCCCCTCCCCATACCGCATTTTCATAATCAATGAGAATGCTAAACTGCTCCAAAAGCAATCTGCTCATCAAGTGTGGTCACCTAGGACTGGCCTTCAGGGTTTCAGGGAATGGAATCTGTTCTTTGAAATTTAGGATTTGGTTGAAAAATCTTTAGTTAAGGGACCCCACCATGCCCTACGAAGGCCCCAGGAGCACCAATCCTACCCAAAACCTTGTCTAAAATGTAGGAAAATAAGTATATTTTGATACTTTTGAGTCAAAATGGGCGTGTAGAGATGTTTTGTCTAAATCCTAAACCCACTGATACTGAGATGGTTCCTATTCACAGTGACCCTATAGGACAGGGTGGTGGTGGTGGTGATGTGCCGTGGAGTCGGTTCTGACCCATAGTGACTCTATACAGGGTTTCTGAGGCTGTAAATCTTAATGGGAGCAGAAAGCCTCATCTTTCTCCTGCAGAACAGCTGGTAGTTTCGAACTGCTGACCTTGAGGTTCACAGCCCAATTTGTAACCACTATGCTACCAGAGAGGATAGGCTGTGTCATAGGCTATAAAAAGGCTTTAATCTTTTTGGAAGCTGACTGCCATGTCTTTTTTTCTGCGGAGCAGATGAGCACTTAACCACGACACTACAAGGCTCCTTATGTTTTGCCTGTTGTTATTAAGTGCTGTGGAGTTGGTTCGGACTCATAGCAATCCTGTATAGGGTTTCCAAGGAGCAGTTGGTGAGTCTGAACTGCTGACCTTGTGGTCCAGTGCTTTATCCTACAGCGCCACACCAGTGCCTACCTACTGTGCCATTATAAACTCACATCTGTATTGGGTGCAGGTTTGCACCAACAGAGTGGTTAGCTCATTCACCTGGGGCATCAGGGTCGTTTAATGCAGGCTTGCAGATAGGAACAAGCCCTTAGCAGTGCTGAGTGTGGTGGGCAGTTCCTCTCAGTCCTGGAAGCTGCAACTAAGGAATGGATTGGAGCTATGTCATGGCTGGGCTCCCAGCTGGTTTCTGTGGCTGTAGTCTCAGTTGTAGGAGAGCTCTGCTATTGACTAGGATGCCTGATAAGTCATGTTGGCCCTCTTTACTGGTAACTCTGGGGTGGTCCAGGAGCAGAATTTAGGGACTGATGCTTTCTGGAGGGGAAGGAAGGATGATTCCACATGTACAGATCGCCGGGACACAGCCAACCAGCCATTTCAGAGGCACTGTGTCCCTGTCAGGCCCAGACCAATAAGTCTGTCTGGAGGAAAATGGTGAAGATTTGTTATAAACTTCTTATGGTGGGATTAAAAGCTTCATAAAGAGCTTTTCTTCCTAGTACCACCTCAGGGCACTGATGAGGCAGGTAGTCTGGGATTACAATCCTGGAAGTTAAATGATGTGGGCTCAGAAATAAAAGTCAGAATTTATCTGCCCTTCCTTTGACCACTGTAGGAAGCTGGTCCTTTCACCAGTGAGAAGAAGGGGAGGTATCTCAGCTCTGTCCACAGCCTCCCTTCCAGTCAGCTAAAGAACAGCATGTTCAGGCTATAAAGCACGAGGCCTGTCTCACCCAGTCCAGGCCAAGCTTCCTCCAGAATGGACACTGCACACTTCAACCAGGCCTCACCTCACACAGAATAACCTGAGGCTAAGGAGCTCTGGTAGCGTAGTGGTTACGAATCAGGCTGCGAACCGCAAGGTCAGCAGTTCGAAACTACCAGCTGTTCCGCAGGAGAAAGATGAGGCGTTCTGCTCCCATAAAGATTTACAGCCTCGGAAACCCTGTACAGGGTCACTATGAGTTGGAACCGACTCCACAGCACACAGCCACCATGGGTAATTATTCAGACACTCTGCTCTTCCTCAAACTAAAATCATAACAATAATATTGAACAACATTTTTCCTTCCAAAGCAGAGAATAGGCCTACTCTGTGCTAACATCAAGCAACCATGGAGGGACCTCCTTTCTGCCCCCTATCAGTGAGAGACCCTTCTACCACTACCAGGGGACTCTTATTAGTAGGAGCATTTGCCAGGTGGGAAATGAAATCACATAGTGACATCTGTGAATTGAATGTCTTGGGGGCTGCCAGGGAGGTAAGGGGGAAAGAAACAAAAATGAGAGCGAGGATTCCCAGAGAGGGCAAACAAGATGGCCGGAAGGCAGGTCCCTCCATGGTTACACCAGGCTGGGGTGGACCAACCTGGAAGCGTGTGCATTGTTCAACAGAGGGAGCTGAAGGGGTCATTACTAATTTGTCCTGTGGGCTTAGCTGACAAGGTGAGATAGAAAGTATCGCGTGTTTCTGGTTTAATATCTTGAAGGCTCAGAGCTGAGTGGGTATGGGAGAGGAAGACAAATTCTGGTTTGTTCTTTCAGAAGCTTAAATCCTCCCCTGGTTAGTCCCTCCCCCTCATCTCCAGCCCCCAACACAAATGTCCTCCTTTTCAACAAAATACAAAGCCTTCCACACGATGCTCATCTTGCCTGAACACTCTTCTGCCTCCGTTCCTTGTATTTACCACCTAGTGGTCCTTATGAGATGGTCTTTCATGCAGATGATCCACTGAGGAAATTCCTTGTTTCCGGCCCAGGGTTAGATGTCCACTGCACCTTCTTTGTGCTTAGTGGCCATTGGGATTACCTTCTTGTCTGAGTCTTGAAAAGCATGTAGGGGATGTCTGTTTTCTTTCTTGTGTCCCCCACTGCCCTCATACTGTATGCTACCTGGGGGTAGGAACTGCATGTTTAACAACCACCTATTGAATGAATGAGTTTTAAAATCCTTAACTGTGCATTTGCCTTCTCTTCTTCCTTTAGTTTATATTGGAAAGCAACAACAGAAAAGTACAGTGTCAGGGTTAGAACTAGGATAGAGATAGTTAGAAGGCTCTTAGGCTCATGTAGTCGAAAGGTGAAAAGTAACTCATTCTAGGGTCCTATCCCTTCCTGAAACAAATACATAAATAAGTCTTTTGGGGCAGGCCTCAGCCATCATCAGGCAGTGCCTGGTTGCTCTAGGGAAACCATTAAAGGGAGAAAAAATACAGTATCTTGAAACCACTGAATAGTTCAGAGGATGGCATGTCTAAACTTCCAACCAAGACAGAGGAGCAGCTGACAGAGTACTCTGACTGGCGTGACTGAGGCACAGGAATCCCTGCTACCTAGAAAGGAAATCGTGAAAATGAGGGGTTTACAGAGATGGGGAGGAAGGCCATGCTGGGCTGAAGCCCAGAGGGGGACTGCACCCCTTTATAGGACGGATGAGTACCCCACATGGTGACCAGGAGCAGGGGGGAAGCGGGAGTGGGAAGGTGGGTAAGGGGGCATGCCTCTGCATTGCATGGCTCCCTTTATTGCACCAACTGGACTCTCATGTTCTGGCTCCCAGAGGGAAGGAGATTCTATTCTTGTACCAAAATCCTACAAAATGACCTCATCATCCTAGATCCAGTCCCAAGCCTTCCTAGTGTCTGTAACTCACTGGGGAAGGAGGTGTCCAAGAAGCCACTTGAATCCAGGATTTAGGGCATAATCTTTTCTTCCCAACCTGTCCCCCAGAGGTAGCTGCACCAACCCAATCTGCCCAGGACCTGCCCTGTGCTCCATACGTCAAGGCAGTGCTGAGTGCGTGGTAGGTACAGCTTCAGGCTGCCTCAGTCTGTCAAAGGACAGGTTATAGGCTAATACAATTCCTATAAAAAAATGACAATCAAAACAGAAACACAGATTCCACTCCTAGATATACACCCCAAAGAACTGAAAGCAGAAATGCAAACCAATATTTATTCACCAATGTTCACTGCAGTATTGTTCACAAAATCCAACATGTAGAGACAACCTAAATGTCTATCAGCAGATGAATGGATAAACAAAATGTGGTATATATACACAATGGAATAGCACTCAGCCCTAAAGGGGAAATGAAGTTCTGACACATGCCACAGCATAGCTGAACCAGAAAAACATTATGCTGAGTGAAATAAGGCAGACACCAAAGAACAAATGGCATACGATCCCACTGATATGGAATGGCTTCTAGAATAGGCAGATGTCTAGAGACTTATGTTCACTAGGGGTAGGAGGGAGGGGATAGGAGTAAGTCATTGTTTAGGGAAACTGTGGTGATGGTTGCACATGATGCATGTATTTAATGTCACTGAGTTAGACATGTAAGAAACGTTCAAAATGGCAAATGTATTGTTCTAGATAATTTTACCACAATAAAAAGAGAACCAGTTTAACATCCATCAAATCCCATGCACTCATGTACACAGAAACACACACTATTTCTTTTGCGATCTCTCTTGCTCTCAAGTTTTCCTGAGCCAAAAGGCACGATGTTTTAGCACACAGTGTTTTAAAGACTTGAAAAATTCAAGGGCTGTGACAGGGGTCTGTGCTAACTACCTCAAGCTTGGTCACTCAGGGATTCTTCCAGAATCAAAATTTCTCCCTAGTTTTCTCCCTCACGCCAGAATTCTAGGTCTAGGTGAATCTTTGGACACCAAAGTACACATGAGATATGCTTAGGTTGGAGGCTGCTACCGCCTAGTTCTGCCCCAGATGTAATTTATGACTGTCCAGCCCTCAAAAACAAGTTGTTGGAGACCAAAATGATCACATCATAGAAACTCTGAGAACCATTTCTGAGCAATGAGAAAAAGAGTTTGGGAAAGCTGTCACCACTCACCTCATGAATTAGACACTTGTCTATGAGCTGTAAATAGGAACTTATATTTTCCTCATCAGGTCTGGAGACCAAGAGCTGTGTGCACACTGTGGTTTGGAAAAAAAAAAGAGAGAAAAAGAAAAGATGAATTAGGAAAGTACACTCCCGTCCTAACCTTTGAGATCTGCCTCTCATTTCCTTTCAGGAGCAGTGTTTCCAGAGGTGCATGTGCCTATGGGTTTATGTAAAGTTCACAAAAAAGGCCAGGAGGCTCCTCGTGCCACTGAAGTCAAAGGCTGGGCCACCGCAGGAACCTTGCCTTGAGAAGCCCCTTCAGGTAATTCCAGTCATACCATTCTATATTAAGCCTTCTTCTACAGCTGAGCCTGAGACAGACTCTGTGAGAGGGAGGGAGAACACAGTAGTTGGCAGTAGCAGCCTGAGGTCTATCATTGAAAGAGGCTCCTTTGGAGAAGGGGTTCAAAGGTATCACAGAATGTTTGTCCTGTCGGAGTACAGTCTTGGTAATTTTATGAATGAGCCACATACCTCACCTCCAGCCAGGTAGAAAGGCGGTCATGTTTGTGTTTGCAGGAACGTGGCTGGCACATTGTTCAGGATGTGAGGTGTGTGGGTGTGTACATGAGGAGGAAGCAAGTCTGAGACTCAATCTCTTGAGCTACTGAAGGGTTATTTTCTCAATGGGATACGCATACTTATACATATGCACGTTCTCCTACACACTCAAGCAAGTGCAAATATAGCCAGAGCAGCAGCGAGTCTGCGGATAGAGCGCACACACACAAACTGGAGTTCTCACGGTCGCGTGAGCATAACCCGTTCTGTTCTCATGGAGCTGGCTGTGTGTAACTGAGTATGACAGTCCCGTAGACTTTCCAAGGCTGTAGATCTTTATGGGCGCAGACGGTCACATTGTTTTCCCATCGAGTGGCTGCTGTGTGGGTGCAGACATTTGGTTAGCAGCTGAGTGTTTAACTACTGTGCCTGCCCAGGTCTCCTTACTCTAGTCATAGAGGCTACCATGCACTAACTTTGGGAGTGGCGATTAAAATGTCAGCGGGGGAGACAGTGGGACAAAAGCAGTCAGTCGGCATGAAATGCCTTGCACGCAAGTAGATCAAGCTGGAAACTTGGGCATCATATTTGATTCCTTCTCCCTCTCCCTGCATAACCATCTGTCATGGAATCCTATATATCCCGCCTTCTTGGTATCATACGCATGGGTGTCTCTGCATACAGATGTGCACTGCAATATTGTTTGTCATAGCAAGAACTTGGAACCCTGTTAGATGAATTATGCTTTATGCATACAGTTAACAGTATGCTACCTTTAAAAAGGAATAAGATGGTGCTATTTGCATTGACAGAGATAACCAACATATATAATAGAAAAAGAACAAAATGAAAACCCTAGCTGCAGAATAGAATGCAAAGACCTGTTTGTGTATAAAAAGAGTATGTGCTTGTCTATGGTTATGAAGTGTCTGAAGGGCTATCCAAACACTGTTCAGAGTGACCACTTCCTGGAGGAAGATGACAGGGCTAGGAGGGAGGCATTGCTTTTCATTTTCCACCATTTTGTCTAGTTTGAATTTTTAATACTGAGTATGAATTAGTTCACAATTTCTTTTAAGGTAGTTAGAACTTTGAAAGACACTATGCCAAAGTTGGGATCTCGGAAGGCTGAGCCCCCTAGAGATCTGTTCATGGGGAGTGAGTGTGCACCCCCATGTGGGCTTGGCAGGGCTGTGTCCTCACAAATGGGGGCATCTGTTCATACCCAGCATAGCTCCAAGCCCTCTCTGAGGTAAGGAGAGTGAAGGCTGCTGGGGAGAAGAGCCCGCCAACTGATCAAGCTACTGCCCTCTCAATCTGAGGGGAGCTAAGTGTCATCTTCGAAACCGTATCTCCATGAATTTAAGTTTTTTAGATGCATATTTATATTTTGGATATGTAGATTTTCATTGTAA